GAGTTTTTAGCCAGTAAACAAATAACTGCATTGGAACACTCTTCCTACTCACCTGATCTGGCCCGAATAACTTCTTTCTTTGCCTGAAGATAAAGAAAACACTGAAAGGAAGACATTTGATGACATTAAGAACATTAAGGGTAATACAATGACAGCTCTGAGGGCCATTCCAGAAAAAGAGTCCCAAAATTGTTTTGAGGGTGGACTAGGTGCTGGTGTCAGTGCACAGCTTCCCAAAGGGAGTACTTCCAAGGTGACCATAGTCAGCAATAAGGTATGTAGCACTTTTTCTAGGATGAGTTTGGGAACTTAATTGTCAGACCTCATACGTATTCATATATGTGTGTGCATATATATATATATATATATATATATATGCATTTTTATTATGGAAAACTTCAAATACAAAAGTGAACAGAAGAGTATAATATTTATTGTTATTGTGTAACAAACCACTCCAAAATTCAGTGTCTTAAAACAGAAATTGTATTATTTCTCATGATGCTGAGGGTTGATGGGACACTTTGGCTGGTCCCTCCAGAGGTTACTCCTGTGACTGTATTCAGTTGGGGCATTTGGCGAGGGCGCCTTGATTCTCCCCTGCACAGCCTCTCCATGTGACAAGCTTGGGCTTCCTCAGCATGGCATTCTGAGAGTTCCAAAAGCAGAAGCTTCGAGTTCTCTTAAGAACTGGACCTGGAACCAGACCAGCATCATTTCTGCCACATTCTATTGGTCAGAGCAAGTCACAAGCCAGCCAGATTGAAGGAGAAGGGACAGAGAGCACACCTCTTGGTGGGAGACGCCACATGGCAGCACAGAGAGGGGTGTGGTTATTGACAGCCAGCTTGGGAGACAATGTATTATTGTATTAGTGTACACAATGTATTATTGTATTAATGTAATACAAGTGCCTGACATATGCCAGGTCCTATGTTGAGGGCTCCGGATACTCCATCTCACCTAATCCTCAAGCAGCCCTGTGACATAGGTATCATCATCCCCACATTACAGGTGTCACAGGACACCCAGTTAGGAATAGCAGAGCTACATGTGCATTCAGGTCTGTCTGCAAACCAGGCTGTGTGTTTATTATATCCCCCACAAAAATAAAGTCAGTAGCCATGTCAAGACTTGAACCAAGGTCTCTAGACTCCTAGATTGAGAGGCAGATAGATAGATACTTGAACATAATAATATACATAATTTTTAATTGTTGGGGAACACAAAAATACAAGGCATGCACTTGGAGACAAAGGCCAGGAGACAGAAACTAAAGCCAGTGAGATACACATAGAGAAGCAAAGAGTCAAGGAGCCAGAGTGAAAGTGAGAGAGAGATTGACTGAACCATGAGACTTCCTTTAGCCTAGAAGCTCCATGAGAAAAAGAATTTTATCTGTTTTGTTATAACTATACCCTCAATGCTTACAGCAGTACCTGGCACTCAGTAGGTGCTTGTATGTTGACGGGAAACTAGGCTAGACAAGGGGAGTGCCTGCAGTTCCAAATACCACCAGCAGGTGGCAGTATCCTGATGCCCTGAAGCCACCCAATGCCTAAATGCAAAAAACTGCCCTGGACGATTTGCAGCCACAGGCCCCTGACTTTCAGGATGTCATCCCCCTTGAGCTCAGCCCCGCCTTCCCCTTCACAAGCCTTGGGCGACGAGTGACCTTTCCGCCTGAGACACCCTCTTCTTCACTCTCCACCACCATCCTGCCCAGTTAAACAACCCTTTGTCCTTGGCCCCTTCTGGCTGGGCCCCAAGGCACCTGGGTCCTTTCCAGGCCCGGAGATGGGGCTGGGACAAAGGTGGGGCAGCTGGAATGAAGCCAAGGAAAAGTCCCAGGTACTCTGGAGTCAGTTATTCTAGTCTTCCTGGACCAGAATTATGGGACCCAGCCCCTCCTCTCTCAGACCCAGGAGTCTGAGCCCCACAGTCCACACCCCCAGTCCTCTCCTTCCTCAAAGTCCCATGCAGTGACCCTCAGCCCAATCTTCTCCGGACCAACCTAGGCATAGAGGTCCTCTGGCGTGCCTGTCTCCCCGTCTGTGAGAGACCCCTCTCTCCCTCCACTCCCCACGCCAGGATTGAGACCAAGGCTGAGTCACAGGAAGCTCTGGGCCCTGAGTCACCCCCACCGCCCAGCTTAGCCCCTCCCTGGGCTGGAGGGAGCTGGCTCTGGAGCCCTGTGTCCTACCAACTGACCCCACAGACCAGAACTTCCACTGGAGGCAGGTGACCTTCCCACTGTGACCCCATCACTGCCCACCCTGCACCTGTCATATCCAGCCTTTGCTCCATTTTTCTCTTTTAGTCATGGTCTCTTTGGAGACAACTTTTCCCTCTGCTCTAACGTCCATGTCTTGATTCTGGCTTCTGCTTTCGCTTCACCTCTGGGTCTCTTCTCTCTCCATCTCTTTGATTTATTTTTTTTCTCCTTCCCTCCTTTTCTCCCTCCCTCCCTCTTTCCCCTCCTTTTTTGTCTGTCTCACTGTCTCACTCTCTCCCTCTCCCCTGGCTGCACCACGCAAGGTCTCTCTGTCTGTCTGTCTCTGTCAGCTTTCACCTGTGCCTGCAGCTGTGAAGGGGCTGGAGCTGGAGGTCTCTGTTCTATGGCCTTTGACTCTCTCATTCTCTGAGTGGGGCTGGGTAGAACTGGAACGGGCAAGGCTGTCCCCAGCTGTGTCCATGAATGGGTGATAGAAACAGAGGCAGAGACAAGCATGGAGAGGCCCAAAGGGAGAGCTGGAGGCAGAGAGAGAGTGAGACAGAGAGAGAATGAGACAGAAAAGAGAGCACAGAGAGAGATGGAGACAGACACAGAAAGATAGAGACATAGACATCAATGAACACAGAAGGGGGCATGGAGGCAGACAGGCAGTAAGAGGGAGAAAGGATGAAATAGAAAAACAGAGAGGGACACAAAGATAGAGACAGCGGCAGAGGCGCTAAAAGAGACAGAGACACAGAGGCCAAGAGAGGCAGAGACAGAGCTAGAGAGCTAGAGAGAGAAATGGAAACAAACGGGCAGGGAGTCAGCTATACACAGACACAGAGACAAAGAGATAGAGACAAAGGCATAAAAGAGGGAAAAAAAGACACAGAGAGACAGAAACAGAGAGAAAGACGGACCCAGAGCGGGAGTCGGAGGCGAGGCCCTGAAAACCAGGAGGACAGATGCACAGAGCCTGGTGCCAGGCCACAAGGGGGGCGGGTGGCAGGGATGCCAGGCTCAGCCTCAAGAGCGCCCAGCGGCAACATTTTCTTGGAGTGGACACACGTGTGGTGTCTGGGTGTGCCTGGGTGTGTCTCACCCTGAGTGGGAATCCTATGTGTGCCACGGGGCCGGGCACCAGCCGGGTTGTGTTTTTGTCACTGGGTGTGTTTGTGTGTGTGGTTTGGTGTCTCTGGGTGTGTCTGTGTGGGTTGTGTTGGTGTGTTGCCAGGCATGTCTGTGTGTGTCTCATTTCCCTGTGGCTGGCAGGTCCATGTTCCTGCATGACACGAGAGGGGAGATGGGTCATGTCTGTGGGTTCCCCCAAGAGTGGTGTCCCTGGGAGCACCAGCTGTGTCGCAAGATCAGCGTGTGATGCTGTGGGAGGTGTTTTGTGTCACCTCGCCAGTATGTCCCCCGTATTGGAGGGTTTTGATCCATGTCTAAATGTACGGTGTACAGATCCATGTGTCACTTCTGTGCCACCACATGTGGTCACATCCTACACTCTCGGAGTCACAGTGCATCACTCTGTATTGCTTTTGCCGTTCTGTCTGTCAGTGTGTGTTGTGTCTATTTCTGGGCGTTGTGTGTGCAGTTGTGTATCGTTCCGTGACATGACCCTATGTTTCACGTCGAGGTGTACATCCACGTTGGGGATCTCACCTTTTCCTGCCAATAACTTACCCAGGTGCCCACACTCAGAGTGTGTTGTGTTTGTGCGGTTGTGTATCACATTGTGCTGGAGGGTGCTCCTCAGTGTTGTGTGAGGTGTTGTTGCGGGCATAAGTATCGGCTGTGTCAGTGGGTCACATCTGCTGTTTCATGTGACATATGTTTGTCAAAGGTGGTGTTGGGAAATGCTGTGTCAATGCATTTTGTGTCACTGTGTGTGTGTGTGTGTGTGTGTGTGTGTGTGTGTGCCCTGGGCCCTGATGTGGTGTTTGCGTGGCCAGCAGCAAGTGGCTGTTGTATGTGGCGCTCAGATGTGGCTTGTCAGTCAGCGGCAGTGCTGCACGTTTCACTCTACGCACTGCATTTGGGCGTGGGGCTCCATGTAGCCTGTGTCCCCTTCCTCTGCCCCTCAGCGTCATTCTGGGTTATGTCCCGAGCGCGATGTCAGAATGTCTTTGGGCGTGCGCTGCTGGGGTTTCTCTGTGTGTGGCTGTTCATTGGAAGTCTCTGCCGGCGTCCATTCATACTGTTCTCTGATTATACACATGCACGGCACTGTGTACCGGGGTATATTGTGTGTCGGGGTGAATCCGTGTGTCATGAATCATTCTACGAGTATATATGCACGAGTCGCCATGTGCATGACGTGTGTCCGTGTGCCTCTGTCTGTGTGCTGGGTGATTGGGGACTACCACGGGTGTGTCCCTAAAGATTGTGTGTCTGCACATGTCAGGTGTGTAATGTTTGGGACCCCGTGAGCGCATTTTTACATAGATATGTTGTGTGTGGCATTTATCATCGCTATGTCAGTATATATTGTGGTTGTGGAACTCTTGGTATATGTTGTATTTGTGCAGCTATGGATGGGCATCACCCGGTGTGCGGCATCTTGGTGTGGCTGTTTGGGTCAGACAATGTTGTGCCCATTTTGACTGCAATGTTTGTGCCCATGCGTGGACAATACCTGAGTGGCTGTGTGTGCCACGGGGTGCAGCCTGCCTTGCTGAGTGCTGGCGTGTGTCACATCATGTGTGTGGTGTCTGGGTGTGGCTGTGGGTTTCAGAGCTTGTCGGGAGTTGTGAGTCACTCGGTGTAGGTTGTGTTGTGTGCCCGTGTGTGTTAGGTTCCGTCTCCAGCCATGCTGTGTGTGTGAGGGTGTCCCAGGGTGTCTGGGTGTGGCTAAGTGTAGTGTGTATTACACAGTACAGACCGTTGTGTGTGACCATTGTGTGTCAGTGTGTCTCTTCCTTACTCTGCCTCAAGACACACCCCAGCCCCTCCTTAGTCTGAGAAGGGGGGCTAGGGAGCCTCCCCTCTGCCCAGGGGCCTCCCCAGCCCCTCCCTGCCCTGCCCAGCCGTCACCACCCCCCAGAGGGCACAGACTTTACTGTGCCTCAAAGCAAGAGCCCCAGAGCAACCGAGTGGAGCAGGCCGACGACCTGCAAGCCACAGTGGCTGCCCTTTGCATACTGCGAGGTGGGGGACCCTGGGCAGGAAACTGGCTGAGCCCCAAGACCCCGGGGGCCATGGGTGGGGAGCTGGTGCCTGGCCTGGGGGCCCTGCGGCGGCGAAAGCGCCTGCTGGAGCAGGAGACGTGGCTGGCCGGCTGGTCACTGACGCTGGCAGGAATTGGCATCGGGTTGATGGTGCTACATGCGGAGATGCTGTGGTTCGGGGGGTGCCCGGTAAGTGGATCCCTTATCCTGGGCCACGGGAGCTGAGGACTGAGACTCCTGGTCTGAGGGAGGAGGGTCTGGGGGTCTGGTTTTCTAGGTCTGAGAGAGGAGGGGGCTGGGGGCTGGGACTGCTGGTCTGAGGGACATGGACTGGGGTCCAAGACTCCTGGGTCTGAGAGTGGAGAAGGCTGGAAACTGGACTCCTGGGACCTTAGGGGCCCTCTCTGCCAAAGTAAGAGAAAAGGGGTCTCAATGTCACAGTCTTTGAAGCTATTGCAATTAGACAGCTGGAGGTCCAGGACCCGTGGAGGTGGGGGTGGGGTGGGAAGGTGGCTGATTAGAGCAGGCTAGGGGAGCGGTAATGGGGAGGGGAGGGAGAGAGACTTAACTTCTTCCAGTAGGCGGTGGCTCCTCGGTCCTTATCTAAACTCTAACGTTTACCCAATATCTCAGTGGTAAAATGCAAAAACCAGAAAAAACTGGCTGGGGTGGGGGTGGGAAATGGAATGGCACACTTGCAGCACATGCACACACCCTCCCATCTCCATCATTGAGAAGCTCAACTTCCCCCCCGAATCTAGATGCTGTTTAGTCTGGGAAGTAATGGAGAGGATTTATAGTAGCCAGGGCCCCTGGGTCCCTGGGAGGAAGGGGCTGGGGGCCCAGGTCTGAAGAAGGAGGCTTAGAGCATCTTTGCGGGGAGAGGGGCTGACTTTGAGTCTGGTGAGTGGAAAGGGGCAGGACAGATGGGGCCAGGGCAGGTCTGAGCAGGCTCCTGACACATTCCAGCCCTGGTGAGGGCCGTGATGGGTCAGAATCAGTGGCTTGAGGACAGAACGGAATTGCTCAACAGGAAAGGAGAGGTTGAGACTTGTCTGGGGTAAGGGATATGGAATTGGGCTGGTTGGGGGGGCGCTGATTTAAGGATTGAATTGGGGGGGGGGATTCCTGGAGTACAGAGGCTCAGGCTTGGATTTGGGGGTGAGGGAGGCAGGCAGCTCTGAAGTGACCAGTGCAGGCTGGCTTCCTCTGGCCAGTCATCCGAGGCTAGAGCACAGAGCACTGAGGAGGTGGAGCCGGCGAAGCCCATGCCAACAGGAAACATGGCCAGGGCCTACTAGCTCCCACGATCCAGCACCCCGCCCAGTAGGGGAGGTGAAGGCATGGGAGACCTGGCAGATAGGAAGGGACGAAGGGGTCACTCCGACCCCCTCCCTCAGCCTTTTCACCTCTCATTTCTTTATCCCTGTACTGCCTGCCAGGCTGCTGCCTCTAGCAGTGGGACTCTGGGGAGGCTGCTGTCGCTCTCTGAGCCTCAGCTTCGCCATCTGTACAGAGGGTGAGGTTGAAACACATGACCCAAGGGGTCCTCCTTAACTTCCTATGACTGCCTTGATAACACACCTGTCCTTTCCCCACCGCCATCTCAGTCTAACGAACTTATTTCACAGGGACCCAGATACCTGCTTGCCAGGGGGAAGGGGCTGGCGGGGAGGCAGGTGCCAAACTCAGGGGAGTGCAGGGGAGCAAGACAGAGAAGATATGGGAGGAGTTGGAAAAGTAGAGGGGACCACCAGAGAAGTGGACTGCAGTGTGGGAAGGGGTGTGTGTGTGTGTGTGTGTGTGTGTGTGTGTGTGTGTGTGTGTGTGTCTAGTGGGGTGGAATTGGGGACTAGGTAAATAAAGAGACAGGAAATGTGGTGCCAGAGAAGGATGAAGGAGTAGGAAAAGGCTGGGGACAACAGCACCATTGTTTGGGGACCGGTGGGGGGGCAGGCCCCCGGGGCAGGAAACTGGCCCTCTTCCCCTTCACTGAGGCGGGGCGCTGTGCCCTCGGGAGGTGGGGGGGAGCTGGCTGCATCTTAGGAGAAACAGGTGGGAGCCCGGGTGCTCTCCTCTCCCTGACAACACCCCTCAGGCAGAGGTCCTGCCCTCAGCCCTTCCTAGGGAATGTAGCTGTCCCAGTCCCCTCTAAATCCTTCCCTCAGGAATTCTAAATTCATGCAAGGTATTGCCACACAGAGAGGGGGAAACCTTCTTGGTTTCTGGAGGCCACTGCTTTGGCCAGATCTGCCCCAGGCTTAGAGCCAGGAGAAACAGCAGAAGATAGGGGAAGAGACGCAGGGGACAAGACTGGGGGTCCATCCTTTCTCAGAGCTGGGTCTGGGGTTTCTCAGGGACTCAGCCCCCCGGATGAAGGCAGGGGAGGGTGTCATTCATGCCTTGGGGACTGAGCGGTAGTTTCTAGGCTTCTTGGGAATTGGGGGAGCGGGTGAGACTTGAAGTTGCTTTCTAGGGCAGGACCAGTTGGGTGGGGAGGGCGGTGGAGGGGCACTCTCTAGAGGCCAGATGTCTGTTTCTAGACACACACACCCATAAGCACACAACTGAGGAACTATTTTTGATGGTGAAGGGGGCAGGAATTAAAGACTGTGAGTTTCAAGGTTTCACCTCAGGGATGTGGGTCTTAGGAGAAGAGCTGAGGAGGAGGGTGGACATTTGCATCCGGGCCAAGGCTGTCCAGTTGGGAAGGAAGAGGACACTCTCCTTGGGGACCCGATGACGATTTTGAGACTTCCCCAGAACTGAGACATCAGGAGGAAATGGGTTAGAGGTTGGGGAGAAAGGAGACTAAGAAATTGGGAATTGTGAAGGGAAGGCTGATTGGGAAGAAGGTCGAGGGTCTCACCCCTTTTTCTATCCCTCCCAACAGTGGGCGCTCTATCTGTTCCTGGTTAAATGTTTCATCAGCATTTCCACCTTCCTCCTCCTTTGCCTCATCGTGGCGTTTCACGCCAAAGAGATCCAGGTAGGGCCTTCCCCGTCCCCAGCCCCTTCCTTGAGCTCCCAGCCCCCCCCCACACCGTGTCGCTCACTTTCCTCCCTCCTCCTTCTCCTGTGTTGACGAATGATGTTCCTCCCCCTTGAGATGCATCCGCACCCTCACCCACTGGGATAGGATGAACCACGGACAGACAGACAGACAAACAGACAGAGCCTGCTGGAGCGGCCCCCAGTCTCCCTTGCACACTCTTGGATGCTGAGAGTTCCTGCCCCTATGCCTCTGTCCACTCTGCCCCCAAACAGCTTCACTCCAGACTCAGCCTTTCAGGGACTGTCCTGAATCTCTGAGTCCCCACCTATTCCAGTCCCAAGCAACCTGAGCCCCCACATCCTTCCCCACTCCTGAGCGTCCCCACCTCTGTGCCAATATCCTGCAGACCCAGGAGCCCTTCCCACGCTTATCCTCCTCCAGTGTCATGTTTCACTGGGACATTCAACTCCCGACCCCTCTCTCTCTCTCATCCCCTCCCCCACATCCCCAGATCCTGTTGCTCTTCCCCCATACCTTTGCATATAAAATGGGGGTCATTGGCCATATGTAGTAATATTGCTCCTTGCAGTACCTGGTAAGGGGTGCCCAGTAAAAAGTACTCATTATCATTATTAGCAGTCATGCAAGCAGTTAAGAGTCCTGGGTTTGTAGCCCAGCTGTGCCACTGGCCACCTGAGGGACCTGGACCTCAGTTTCCACATCTATTAAATGGGGGTGATAATACTTTCAATCTCACTGTGTTGTGAACGTTCAGAGTTACATGTAAAAGGGACAGGCAAGGCCCGGCACATCCAAAGTGTCCCATCAATGCTAGCTACTGTCATTGCTAATGGTATGGAGATTACAGTTACTACACAAGTGTCCGCAGGAAAAGGAGTAGGAGATGGCTCCATGGATGTGGAATCTAAGCTTCAAAGAGGCACGGATTTCTGTCTGTTTTGTTCACCAACAGCCTGGGCACACAGTAGGAGCTCACTTAAAAGTGTTCCTGAACTGGACGTTCTAGAAGTGGGCTGAAACTAGGGGGGAGAAAGGAAAGAAGTGGGAGAGATGTCTTCCTCGGGTCCCGCTCTGCTCCTTGCCCTCCCACTCCAGTCCCCGCCCCTGCACTATCTGCCTCCCTCCGGGGCCTGGCCGGCGCGCCCCCCTTATCTCCCAGCCGCAGGCTAGCGCAGCCGCCTGACCCTCGCGTGACCCCTCTTCCCCGTCTGTCCCCTCCCTGCAGCTGTTCATGACGGACAACGGGCTCCGGGACTGGCGCGTGGCGCTGACCCGGCGGCAGGCGGCGCAGATCTTGCTGGAGCTGGCAGTGTGCGGGGTGCACCCCGCGCCAGTGCCGAGCCCGCCGTGTGCTCAGGATTCCCGGTCCCCGCCGATCGTGACGCAGTCCTGGTCGGGCTTCCTGAGCCAGGGGGAGGCGCTGCTGTCGCTGGCCATGCTGCTGCGCCTCTATCTGGTGCCCCGCGCCGTTCTCCTGCACAGCGGCGTTCTGCTCAACGCGTCCTACCGCAGCATCGGCGCCCTCAACCAGGTCCGCTTCCGCCATTGGTTCGTGGCCAAGCTGTACATGAACACGCACCCAGGCCGCCTGCTGCTCTGCCTCACACTTGGCCTCTGGCTCACCACAGCCTGGGTGCTCTCGGTGGCCGAGAGGTGAGGGTGCTCGGTCAGGGGGTACCGGGAGCATCTGGAGGAGTCGCCTACAGCCAGGGCCGCCCTGTACCGTGATGCAGGTGGGGGCCCCGCGGGCCAAGCAGCAGAGAGAGCTATTTGTCCACACTCTCACCCACCTGGGTGGAAGGAACCAACAGGCCAACCCAGCTCTCCCTCCACCTGCAGCTTCCAGTCTCCCCAGCCACGCACAGATCCTAGGAAGGCCTTCCCTTCCTGCTTCCCAGCCTCTCCTGCCTCGGGTTTCCAGGCATCTGTTCAGTCTCCAAACCCAGGCGCTGGGGCCTGGCCAAGGGTTGCATCTGCCTTGGAGGAAAGGGACACCTTTTCCGAGTTAGCGCAGGTGCACTGGAGGCTCTGGAAGAGAATTCCCTTCAGAGAACCGGTACCCGATTCCAGGCTGCCTGCTGGACATCGTGTGACCTAATGCTGGGCCTGTACCCTTTCAGGGCCTCAGTCACTCTCTCTCTCTAAGAAATTAGGAGTAATCAGCCAGTGGTTCTCAAAGTGTGTTCCAGGACCACCAGCATCACCTGGATACTTACTTGTGCAGCCCACTTCTCAGACTGCACCCAGACCTACCAAATCCAAAACTCTGGTGGGAGGGGCTAAGTAATCTGTCTTAACAGGTGATTCTGATGCCCACTCAAGTTTGAGAACTTCTGGTTTAGTGAATCTGGCAAAGGATTCTTGAGGGGAGGTGGAGAGTGGGAAGATTTGGCTTTAGAGCTCTCCTTTCTGAGCCTGTTTTCTCATCTGTAAAATGGGTGAATTTTTACAAATTCCACCATCTTTAAAGTCTCCCTGGCAATTCTAACCTTTTCTCAATTTTAAACTTCTTCATCTCACAGGACCTCCGTTTTCCCAGTTGGGAAATCGGTCAGGATCAGAGTCGATGAATGGTCCTCCCACCATGTTTCTCATCTGAAAAGTGGGAGCCTGGGGAGGAAGTCAAATTTCTAAGTCCCAAGGCAGAAGTCCTCAAACGTGACTGTACTTTGGGATGAGGGGGTGGGGCTTCTTAACAGCACAGATTCCATCCCCACCTCCAGACTCTAATTTAGTGGGTCTAAGGTGTCTGGGGCCCTCGTGGATGAAGCTCTTCCTACAGACACAGATGCAAGGGGTCAGTGGGCCAAAGTTAGACAAATCCCGATTTTAGATTCCTTCCTTGGCTGAACTGAAATGTCCTCTTCTAGGAAGTGAGAGAAAGGATGGCAGAGTCCCGTCAAGCCTTAGTAGAGGTCCACCTTTTTAGTCCTGATAGGGCCACCTCGAGGCCAGACAGCATCTTTGTGGAGATTCGAAAAAAGGTGCCCCTTCCTCTGGGTGGATGAGCCCCCTGCCAGGGTTTGATAAGTGGACCTTGGACTGGGTTTCTGCCCCTTCTCAACCCTTCAACCACACACTCCAAATGCAGCAGCCCTGGTAGCCTCGCTAAAACCAAACAGGCTTTGAAATTGGCTGCACCCAGGTTCAAATCCCACAGCCCAGAGTGGCTGAGCGTCTTGTCCAGCTCACACAGCAGACGGGAGGCCAGGCAGGCTCTCCAAAGACCAGAACGTACTGGCGTTTCCTCTCAGTGCTTCTTGGGATGGTGTGTGTGTGTTAGGAAGAGGGTATCAAACGCCACGGGAACCTCTGGGGTGGGGTTTCGGAACTAACTCACCCTTCCCCACAGGCAGACCGTTAATGCCACTGGACAGCTTTCAGACACACTGTGGCTGATCCCCATCACATTCCTGACCATCGGCTACGGGGATGTGGTGCCGGGTACCATGTGGGGCAAGATTGTCTGCCTCTGCACTGGGATCATGGTGAGTACAGCCCCTAAGGGACCCTACCCTCTTCCAAACTGCTCATCCCCTGCCCCCAGGAAACCATGGAGCCCACACAGGCAATCACCCCTAAGAAACTTGGGTGTCGACCACCCCCCTTGGCCCCAGTCCCTCTCCAGGACACAAACCCGCAGCCCCATTTCCTTTTAAAATCCAGGCATCCATCCCTGAAATCCTTGCTGTCTGTGGAACCTAGGACCCCAGGCCTCATCCTCCTCAGGGACACAGGCCACTAACTTCCCAGCCCCATTTCCTTCCAGACTCCAGGAATCCAGCCCTGAGCCCCATCATCAAGGCTCACACATCCTGCCCCACCCTGTGACCCTCCCAATCATCTAGGACTCAGGCACCTGGTTTCCCAGCTCTGGGCTCCTCCAGGACCCAGAAATCCAGTCTCCAGCTTCCATCAAGTTTATGGTCCAATCATGAGGCCAGGCTGCCTGGGCTCAAACCCTGCTTCTGCTGCTTCCTAACCGGGAGCCAGCCATGTAATCTCTCTGGGCCTCAGTTTCCTCACCTATAAAATAAGATGCTGTTACCAGTGTACTCCTCATGGGGTTCCTAAGAAGATTAAATGAATTAAAACATGTAAAGGGTCTCAAACAGTGCCCAGCACATAGGAAATACTGTAAACGGGTCAGGGGGTGGGGGTGGGGAGGCTGTTATTGTAACTGGTCCCAGGCATCCACCATCCCCACCCCAGCTCCTGTGCCCCCAAGGATGAGGCAGAGGCTCTGCAGCCCCAGATTCATTCCTCCTCCCCAGGGTTCACCTCCTCCTGAACCCAGACAACCACCCGGTACCCTTCATAGACCCAGGTATCCTGTTCCAACTCCTACTGCTTCCAGGACTCAGTCCCCAGTGCCTTGGCCTTCACCTCCCCAAGAGATCTAATGCCCTTTACGCTCAGGGACTCAAGCCCCCAGCCCCCAGCCCTGATGTCCCAGAGGACATGTTGAATCCCCAAGCCCTGGGCCCACAGGTGATGAATGGGCTGGCGGGGAACTGCCATA